GTATTACGTAAGCACTATAGGGGTGAGGGGGGTCTTTGATTTTCTTATTTGGTGATCACGTCAACAGCAAATATTTACTTTTTTACACATATTACCCACACATTGTCTATGCTTGATAAAAAATAATTTTCGAGGCTTCCTACAAAAAAATATTACCTTTATGTACTATTATTTTAGCGAGCTTTGCTTACTTTTTCTGACAAATTTCAGTAAATCTGCTTACGTAATACTTGAACGGTCCCTATTACATCTGGTTGCAACACAATACTCAGTTTCACTATTCAGTAAGGTTTTAATTATTAAAATGTAGATCACGTATAGTTTTTGTTGGTAAATATTAAATAATGCTAGGCTGTCTCGGAATCCTAAGATATAGATAATATAAAAAACACAGATTAATGAATTACGATTTAGATCAAAAGTAAGTTGAAAAACGATTGTTATATGAATTTTTCACGCTTCTACATGCTATGGTTACATTAATACAAACCACAGTTGTTTTCAAATCTAACATTTCATGATTTAGATTTAATATTCTTTATTCTTTAAATATGATTTGTTTAAATGTCTAGTATGAAAAATAAATAATATACTTACTGCTGCAATTCCCCATTGAAAGTTGAAGCATCGTTAATTTTCTTAACATTATGGGGTGAGTAGCGGTTGTAAAATCCCCAGATACTGTTCATCAACTTGCTGTTGTACTTCAGGGGTGTGAGTTCCATCACTGCAAAGTGCATGGATTTTTTAAACTATTATGACACACTTATGGCTACAGCTTAAAAAGCGACTTAGAAAATATTGCCGACGGAAAGATGCTAATACCTGCAGCTGAGTTTCATTATCGCACGTCAAGGCAAAATATAATATACCATCCGTATCACCTCGACGTCCGTCGTTCCACAACTGAGCGTTTTTTAAGGCAGTTTATGCCGCGCACCACCGCTATGTGAAACCAACTGCCCACTGAAGTATTTCCGAACCAATTCGATTTAGGGTCCTTCAAGAAAAGAGCGTACCAATTCTTGAAAAGCCGGCAACGCACTTGCGAGCCTTCTGGCAATGTCAATGTCCATGGGCGGCGGTATCACTTAACACAAGGTGAGCCTTCTGCGGTTCTGCCCGTTTGTCGTATCCGCATGGGGTGATAAAATTCTGTATTAATTTCAACAATTATTTTAATTTATAGAGAAGCACGTCTCGTGATCTGTGTCTATACTAGTGCTCATTCTCTCATTGAGTAATTGACATTGCCAATGGTTAATATTTAATGGTTGCTTAAGGCCCTATCCCAGCTGCTGTGTCAGTGTTTCGGGGTGGATTGCGAGGCGCAGTGGAGTGCTCTACACTGAAGAGCGCCGCGCCGGCCCGTAATAATAATAATTAGTTATGTAAAACATTAAAGTATAGTAGTAGATATTTAAAAACCGCAACATATAAAGTCTTTAAAGAAGTTAAATTTATTTTATAAAATATAACAAAACTATAAATTTAACTTCTGGGAGAGTGATTAACGTTTGATAGCCATGGCGTAACAATTTATAAAATACGTCGTGGTGCAACACGCAGACCGTGCCGTGATGGATCCCTCGGTAGGCAAGTTGCTTTAAATGTTATAATTTTGGATACTTTTTCACAACTTCTTCTCTGAACTTGGTATTGTCAAAATACAAAGTTCGTAAAAAAAATTGTCTACAGCTTACAAGAGGTCACCCATAATAGGCCTAATAAATTTATTCACATCTTTCCCATAAAAGGATACAGCGTAGAACTACGACAACATAGCTGTATTAAGCAAAAATTACTGCATTTTTTGAGGAACAAAACGAATTTTGGTTTTATCCCAGGTCTTACGCTATTTCTATTTTTTTATGTAATAGGAGGCAAACGGGCAGGAGGCTCACCTGATGTTAAATGATACCGCCGACCATGGACACTCACATTGGCAGAAGGCTCGCAAGTGCGTTGCTGGCCTTTCAAAAATTGGTACGCTCGTTTCTTGAAGGACCCTAAGTCGAATTGGTTCGGAAATACTTCAGTGGGCAGCTGGTTCCACATAGTGGTGGTGTGCGGCAAAAAATGCCTTAGAAAACGCTCAGTTGTGGAACGACGGATGTCGAGATGATACGGATATAATTTTCGACCCAACTTACATTTTGTATGGTAGAACTTAGTAGGTTCCCCCCCGCCTTTCTTAATGTTTGATACCTTCATATCACGTTGTGTTTCCCTAATTCGGGCAGCAGAGAAAGCAGACGGTGGAATTGACGCCATAAGTTCGCAAGCTGGAAATTTAATCATGAAATCGTTATATCACCTAACCGAATGCCGGATCTTGCATTACCAGGTAAACTGTGCATTTAAGTAATTGATATTATAAATCATCAGGCGCTGGGCTACTGAAAAGCGTATTGAATGACTAAATATTAACAGCAAAACTATACAAATGATTTTAGACCATTATCAATTATAAAAATTTAGTTATAATTAATATAAATTTTATATGTTTATTCGAATTCATGAAATTAGGTCAGAGAACAAAGGCAATGAACACTTAAGAATATCTTACCTCTGCACACTTTACAATATATATTCCGTATCTCCGAGCCCGATGTGGCAATATGGCCTATTTTGGGGCCGTGATAGGGAATGGAAGATGTATCCAAATCCACACTGCTATACAGTACCATGAAATCGCAACAAAGTACTAGAATATAAGAACAAATCGAGAGGTCAACGAGACGACTGAGAGATCAGGCGACGAACAAGTCACTGAACAAGATGGCTGCGAGCTCGGACTGACCCCAACAGACTTATCAGTTACGATAAAGCGTTTATTAGAACATATGTGTTTAAACTTCTTAAATCTATGAACTTCTAATCGATTGTTTGGTTTTAATGTAAGACAACGATGTTATTTAGGTTGCTTTTGGCAAAGTAGGAATTTCTTAAAAATTATGCTGAATAAAATCTTAACATGGTTTTGTCGAACTAACTGAGATGTTTTCGCCCTTCTCTTGGTGTTTTTTTTGTTACTTTAATTGACGCAAAAAAGAGTAGGTTCAATGCGACGTGATTATTGTTAACATTATCTGTGCGTAGCAATTTGAACGTATCGCCATACTAAATTCATATTCGCAATACACGGACCGCACGACCAGTTCCTGAGCGGTCGGAGCAGTCGCTCTGCGGTCGAGTTTCGCCATGCGGTCGACTGCTTAGAGCTGCCGGACCTATGGTAGGTCCGGCAGCTCTAACGGACCGTACAAGTAGCAGTGTTTCTTCATCGAATACCATCTTGTAAATGAACTCGCACAATTTTGCGGTCGAACACAACTGCTCCAAGCAGTCGCAGCCGACTGCATTATGCGGTCGTGTTGAAGTCGAGTACGACTTCAACGCGACCGCTCTACATCAGTCGATCTTGACTGCAACATGCGGTCCATCTATGGCCACACTTAAGTTACCTATAAAGAATATAAGAGTAGTCGACCTATTGGACATTATCGGAAACGAGAATGTTATATTTCAATTTATGAGTGAGGGAAAAACCATGCGAGGTTTGCGCTTCTAATCATTAACTAAAATATAGTTAGTTTGTTTGTTGGGTTCGAAACTTAGTATACATTGTACAGAAACAAGCCTTAAAAAAATTAACCCTTAAAAATCGCCTGGACATCTTGATTCCCCCTAAACTTGGGAGGCAAACACCCAAGTTGGCATCACTGACTGATAACTCTAGGTAGTACGACCCACTTACGTTGACCACTCAGACCCGGTAGCATTTAGCCCTAAGTAACACTTCTTATTTTCACATATTCGATAATAACCGATAAAAAAGTTCTTTAAAACATTGTGACCTCTGCTGGTCCCTGATTTAATTTTTTCTGATAATTACCTCGATATCAAATATAAAACACTCATAATACCGGATTTATGAGTTTGAGTTTGTGGATATATTGGATTTCAATATAAGTAGCAACTTTATTACTATTGTATTTAGCAGAAAGCGCTCCTTCTTTTTCCGTTTGGTGATATTATTTTTGAATTTTGGTCAGGAGATCCGGAACCAGCCCTTCAGAGATGTAGAGAAAACTTGTCTCAATATAAGGATCGTTTTATATCGAAAATATTCAATCCCAGAAATTTAAATATAGTATAAACTGTAAAAAAAAAGTATATATACCAGTGTTGCCAGGCCGCACTTTTTTTTTCTTTCTCTGTACGCAATTGACTTGCTCATACGATGCAATGACCTCCATTTGTCAAATTCCATTACGCTTTTGAGATACGGGAATTGCTTGGTCACGTCTATGATCCATACATATATAAGACGATGACACATCGGACACAAAAGGCTCATCGCTCAATTGCCAATATGCTGGATTATATTTATTAAATTATTATTATATTAAAGTATATTAATATTTATTATAATTATTAAAGATTTTGTGAAACTATTTTTTCGATTGCTTATATACTTGACAATTGACATCTCTCTTAGTGCCCGTGAGACTTCGGAGCTTCTGGAAGAAGCTAGACTGGCTTAGTTAGCCAGGACTTCCCGTACAACGGAACAAATAACATTGAGTCTACACTACATAGATCACAACTCTCTCAGGCTTCTCCCAAAAATTAGTATAGGTATTTATAAAAAAAAAACAAAATTCTTAGGCATAACATTTATTTTTCCTTAAATCTAACGTTTTCGTAAAATTACAATTTCATTGAATACTGCACAGAACATGATTTAATATTGTGCTATATAAGATTGACATTGACAGTTCGATACAAAATACAACCAATAACTTGAGGTAGACTAAAAATTGTCTAAATAGCATTTCAATTAAGTACTGTGCTGCTGAAAACCAAATAAATGCTGTAAATGACATTTTTAAAGCAGATTAACATGATTGCAAAGCTTATTCTAAAATGAAATAAATTATTATAAATATCTACGAAGTTCGGGTGACGAGTCCAATACTGCTAGTTCAGTCAGCACACATTGTTATCTGAAAATAAAATAGATAGCGAATAGTATCCGAGCTTCTAATTAGTTTTAATTAATCACCATAACTCGAGAAAACTTTCCACAGATTACAAAAATAGATTTGGAAGAAAATTAATAATATTAATTATAAATACATAATTATGTCATCCTGATTTATCTATTCCGTAGAGAAAAGGTAAACAATGTCAAAAGTAAGAATTAATTATTCTCATACTTCTGTAAAAAGTTAAATAATAATTTCTAAACGGGCGGGATGCTCATCCGATATTAAATGATACCGTCGCCCATGCCTGCGCCACACTCACATTGCCAAATGGCTCGAGTGTGAGTAGCCGGCCTTTTAAGTACTTGAAGGACCCTAAGTCGAATTAGTTCTAAAATACTTTAGTTGGTTCACAATTGTATGAATATAATCACAAAATGCATTATGGTCTAAGATCCCTCATCCCGCTATACAACGACCTTCACCGAGATGCTTATTTAATGAAACTTATTTTATATTTTATTTAATATGTCAATAAATATAATCCATATGGGTTGCCTAGCAAATTTCAGTCCAGAGTATGTTTAATTAATATTAAAAAAAAAATTATTTTTTTATAATTTGCATGTAGTAAATTTTTTGAACTTTTTTCAATCAATATTTTTAATCAGGGTAGTATTATATATGTATCACTATAACCTTCTTTTATACTAAAGATGTATATATACTTTAGTGTCACATAAAAAATATACACATAAATAATTAATTGATTAAAAACAACCTAACGTTTGCATATTCTATGGGCTTCATACGTTCGATTGGTATAGAATTTATCTAATAATCATACCGGTGAAATGTTTAAAAAAATAATTTTTTTTTAAATTAATTAAACATACTCTGGACTGAAATTTGCTAGGCAACCCATATGGATTATATTTATTGACATATTAAATTATATATAAAATAAGTTTCATTAAATAAGCATCTCGGTGAAGGTCGTTGTATAGCGGGATCTTATACTATTATATATTTATTAACATGCGTTAATAATCATTAACTTTATCGTAAAGGAAAACGTAATTTATCAACCTATAGACACTACTATTTGTTCGATTTGATATTGATATGATATAATAAGATTGGGAAATATAAATTTATACACCACAAATTTTGCGTTTATGGTCCAGGGAATTAACCCGTGATACATATCAAGCACGGCATTTTAAATTGGGTAAAATAAACTTACCAATTCATCTAGTAGGTCCTGATGACAGGTGGTACGGTCTTGCATTCCTGCTGGTCCAGGGTTTTGTCGATGACGGGTCTGTACGAGAGGTGGGTCTCGCCTGTTGATGGGTTTGTCTCCACTATGGTGTGCTTTCTCCAATGCTTCTCGAAGGGTAGCTTAGTCTGTTAACAACGAAAGTGTAACATTAAGATATCCTTACTAATATTAAGAAGAGGTTATCTCTTGATCTAGTCAACCGATTCTGTCAATTAGTTCATCAAAAGAAGGCCAAACACATTTTCGTGGTCAGATTTGCAGTCTAAAAAAAATGGTTGAACGGAAAACATTTCTTACAAACTGTATATATAATGAGAGATATAATATGATTGAGAGAAAAATTGTAGATCTTGAGAATGCTTACAAAAAAATTGGCATCAATTATTTAAATTTTATATTTTATAAAAACAGGCGCTCCGCTGCGTCTATCTATATGAGGAAGGTTTAAATATTAGGTTCAATGTTAACGGGTCATGGTTCCGGCTCGGAACCAGTGATATTTAGAGGGAAACAAGATGTCCACGGGATTTTTTAAGGGGATTATTTTTCAAAACCTTTTTTTATAACGCTGTTATGCAATTCATATTAATCCTCGAAACGAACCTAACTAAACTAAATACAAACTCCAATCGTGGTGGTAAGAAAAGTACAAAAAGCTCTTAAATAATATATGGAAAGAGAGCGAGGAAAAGGCAAAAAAAATATATCCCAAGAAAAGTTAAGAAAACCTAAATTTAAAGGAAATGATATAGCACTGCATCAAGCAACAAATACCACGATTCCTTATTATTTTTATTTTGGGTAGACATTTATAGACATCACGAATTAACGCAAATAAAATTGCCAGACTAAGCATAAAAACGTTGTCATATTTTGAGTTTTACAACCATTTAAAAATAAAACGCGTTCCTTCGTACGGCCTATGGCTATATTGATTTAAAACAAACTTTATCGCTTAACCCATCGGTCATTCTAATACGTATATTTTCGTAACTTTGACGTCTTTAGTTATTTGCTGGGGGCACGTCTCAGAGATAAGATCAATGAAAACAAAGTAATTATTCTAAACTGGAATTATAGAAATATATATATGATCGCATATATATTATTATTATGTCGATAACCTTAATAAACTGATGCGTACGTAATAATTGCGATTCCACAGACACTAGTTTCCGGAAGCCTATTCCATTAGTCAATACTCAGTTTGGGATAAAGTTCTTTAGGGAATTTGTATTATATTAAGTATTATTAGTCTTCAGTTTTAAAGTATATAGTACTTGTACTATAGACATCGTAATTTGCAAGTAGAGGCGTGTTATTAATTATTTTATTTATTTTACATAATAAAAAAAAAATCACAGAAAAATCACTATGGTTTGTAGTAATGTCATAGCAACAATCTTGTCAGGATATATGCATATGAAAATATTTCTTGTATATTATGTAGTACTATTTAATAAATGACCGGGTAGTTCATTTATTACCCGCGGTAAATGCGTCAACGTTCTCTCACCATAGACATTTACTCCAGTCAAATTACGAAATAAATAAACATGAGCGAACACAGTTTTGGGATTTTGAGGATCGATAGGGGGGTGTATTCTGAGCATAAATTCCAATTTGAGGGGTTGTACTGAGGTCAGCTCAAGGTCATTTCGATGGAAACGCGTTTAATTCGATATCTCGAGAATGGTTAGCGTTAGGCGAAAAATTGTAGAGACCTTTTCTTTTCCTAACTAAATTTACTAACTTTTTTATCTGAAACTTTTTTTTATAACATTAATATTTTTCAAGTTATTACTCCCGCAAGGCAAAAATTTTACTTTTTTTTTCCATTTTTCGTCGTTTTCTCCCCAACCATTCAATTTTATTAAATTTTTCCGATCAAAGAAGTGTAGATCTTTTAATTATGAACAATTTTGTTCTTGAGCCCTCCTTGAACCGTCGGAGTTATAGATTACTTTACCGAGCGAAATCTGCGCCACTGTCGCAATATAAAAAGGTCAATCGATTAAACTATTTAAAAATTAGGTACTTAATTTGGGTAAGAAGTAAATTAACAATTAAAACTGTTTCACACATTTATTGATAGAAAAATAGGTTATAAAATTCGGAATATTATTAAGCACCCGAGGTCGATGGAAGTGATGCGTGAATATTCGTGGTCCTGACGGTATCGGGGCATACGTCGTCCTCGTCCATTGCGTCAAGATCATCATCGTCGATAACGTTCGCGACATTCGAACAATAGTTCTCTTGGCAATTGGTGCACATCACTGAGCAAAAGAGGCCGGCCTTTCTGCATCCGCACGCTTTGCCGCATTTGGTTTTGCATTTGCACGCAATCGATCTCATTAAATTATCCGGAGCTGGTTTCAATGACATCGCTATCGGCTGCAATCCACGTGGGGTGCGACGCCAGCCCCATTCCTCGGGTTCCAGATAATTTTCCAGCCAGTATTGAACTTGGTAGAAACACCTCAACGAGTGGGAAAATGCCGCATCAGAGGTAGGAGGAAGGGATTCTAATTTAACCCTCACACTGCCTGCCATTTTTTTATATCCCTTATATCGGAGCTCGTTGAGATTGGTACAATTCATGTCACCTGCCTTGCGATACAAATTCAAAATGAATTGTTCGCCGTTTGAAGCGATAGTTGTTTTATCTGTTTTGTCTTGCAGAAAAACTTCACTTAGCGAAAGCAAATCCGGAGATTTTTTCAATGCGGTCATTGTTTTCATCTTGCCTAGATTGAATGGTGCCGACGTTGTGTCGCAACCACTAACCGCGTGCAAAAATAAAAGGTTTTTTGCGGCATTCGGCCCATATATCGGTTTGAGGCAGTATGGGCTATATGTAGCGTCCGTCGATTTGCCTCGGCCAGGTTTTCTCAAGTAAATGTTGTTGCACGCGCCAGCTGTTGCAGTCAGCAAATCCAGCAAATCCACATCCTCACCAATAACAACCGCAGCACTATATTCCTGCGAAATTCTCTTAGCCATACTGATAATTAGACTATCCGCATCCTCTACAGCTTGCTCCACCTCTATGTCTGATTTGATTAGAACCGTTTTCAGAAGTGAGATGAATCTGGTCTTATTGCTCTCGTTGCCTAAAAACTTATCTTGAGTTGCGGTGAGGGTCATATTGTCGGTGAAAATGATATCCACACATGGCTTCAATTGGGATCGGCGCAGTCGTTCGGCACTAATACGCAACAGTGTGTCTGTGGATACACGTTGCGACAATGGCGCGGATTTCGCTCGGTAAAGTAATCTATAACTCCGAAGGTATTGGCATTACGGAAAAAAAGCTTAAGAACAAAATCGTTCATAATTAAAAGATCTACACTTCGAAGATCGGTAAAATTTAATAAAATTGAATGGTTGGGGAGAAAACGACGAAAAATGGAAAAAAAAAGTAAAATTTTTGCCTTGCGGGAGTAATAACTTGAAAAATATTAATGTTATAAAAATAAGTTTCAGATAAAAAAGTTAGTAAATTTAGTTAGGAAAAGAAAAGGTCTCGACAATTTTTCGCCTAACACTAACCATTCTCGAGATATCGAATTAAACGCGTTTCCATCGAAATGACCTTGAGCTGACCTCAGTACAACCCCTCAAATTGGAATTTATGCTCAGAATACACCCCCCCTATTGATCCTCAAAATCCCCAAACTGTGTTCGCTCATGTTTATTTAACCCGTTTTTAGCCATAATTTGACTGGACTAATTGTTTTCCCGCGAAGTAGAGAACCGAACTTCCGGGTTTTTACGTCATGATTGGAATACATTTCTTAATTCTTTTCTATGGGTATTTTACTTTTATCCTTCATATATATACATATATGTGTATACGTATAATGGCATAGTGGAAGTAAACACGATTATGAAAAATTACGTTAAATAATAGTCGATATCACAGAGTGACGTCAGGCGAAATTATTTGTAATTTTGTTTTAAAAATACTTGTAATCAATTTATTCAGATAAAGATTGTTTATAATAACAACCAAACCAAATTTGGTTACATACAAAAGGATATAGCGAATCAAGCTTAAAACATACATGTTGTTGATTTTTTTATATCCTTAATTAATTACTTACATCTTTAAAACATAGAAAAGAAACAATAATTGAGATTTCTTCTATTACTTTTAAGAATAATAATTTAATTTGTTATTATTATTTTAAAATGTTTAAAAGCGCACGCACTTAATTATGTCTAAATATTTATGAAATATCAACTAATATTACTGTATTTTCAACAAAATTTTCGTAATGTTTCCCCATTCAGAAAAATATCAGACCGCACTGTTTTAAATTCGTACATCTCTTCTGACACAAGTGTTTAAGCTGAGATGAAACTGACCTTACAAAAAATTTAATTGTTTATTATTTTTGACATTTGAAATAGCGTTAAAACGCACACGTTTATCTATCTTCATTATTATAATACCTGTCCGTCCAATGGCTTGGAGTAATCATATTCATCCCTTCTCGTCTTAAAATCTTCCCTCGCATGGGCACCCCTCGATTCCTCCCTCGCCAAGGCACCTTCCACGATCTGAACTGAGTTGATCAGCAGGTTCTGTAGTTCAAGGGTTTCCACCAGATCACTGTTCCATATCAGAGATCGATCTGATACTTTGACATCACCTATTTGTTTGTAGATCTCGTGGATTTGACGTTGGCCTGTAATTTTGATAATTTTATAATTTTTTTGACCCATCGAACTTTGTACAGTCAATACATATGTTACAAATTAGCGGAGCTTAATTTAAAAATTTATTAAAGTTATACAATATTAAGTTAAGTTAAAAGAAATAAGCGTGTAAACACACGCATAAATATTTGACAACCACTACATATACCTGTTTTTTTTTGTCAATTTTCCAATGTTTTTATTCTGCTATTCAGAGACTAATTCAACAAATCAAAAACTACGAAAATCGGTCCAGCCGACAAACCCGACATTGTTTAAAGAAAACACTTTTTTACCGGATTGAAGTTATGTATATTATATAGCAATTACCTATTACCTCATAACGGGAATACGTCGAATCATCAATAATGATTTTGGCAAGTATAATATTGTTAAAGTTACGTGCCAACGATCTTGCCAACATTCTCTAAACAATTTTAGAATTATTTAGATCGAAACAACTTGAGTGAATATGCGTTAAGATATGCAATCTAAGAAAATGTTTAAGCATTGATAATTTTATTACTATGGCGAATTTTATGTACATTTTTATGGAACACTTGATGTTAAGATACCATGGACACTTAATTAACAAGCAGATTATTTTTAAGCTATTGCATAGCTTCTATCGCGGGCCTTGAGCGTGGAGACCGAATCAAGAAATTCCGTAACGAAAATAACCTAACACACGATGACGTAACGTGACGTCTCACATCGGGTGCAGCCGGTACGCGTAAGAGTGAGACAGACTATATAGACGTGTTGGTCTCAGTCTGGTAGACTATGGAATTGATATCAAAGAAAAAACTTGAATCTATATCAAAGAATAAAAATACTACATAAATAAATTAAAATAATTGCATAAGTTGATAAAAAATGCTATGCAATAGCTTTATCGCGGCAGTCCCCGAGTGCAACACTTTTTTTTTTAAATAAATCCGACCGATATTCCATTTCTAAGGTAGAGTAGTTCTAGTTTCATCGGACGTGGAGGCAGAATACGAAATTCCACCCGTATCACCTCGACGTCCGTCGTTCCACAACTGAGCGTTATCAAAAGCAGTTTTTGCCTCGCTTCACCCCTATGTGACAGCCCACTGAAGTATTTCCGAACCGACTTAGGGTCCTTTAAGATAAGAGCGTACCAATTCTAAAGGCCGGTAACGTATTTGTGAGCCTTCTGGCAATGTCCATTGATCCTTAACATCAGATGAGCTTCTAGCCATTTTGCCCCGATATATATATATATTTAAAAAAATATTGGTTGTATATGCTTTTCTATTGAATTGAAAATAAATAAAAAATATCGTACAAATAAACAAAGATTTCGTCGAATATTTTAAAAACTGTTGACTTAAGGGGATACTTTAATAAAAAAAAAAGAATAAAAATCTTACCTTCTTCGAGCGTGTCCTTCTGTCTGAATACAGCGGCATTCGTTTGCATGTTCTTCTGCATGCGCAGACGCAGCGCAGCTGTTGGAATAGTACCGTTCGCATATCTGATCTGGTCCAAGTTCGTGATACTTTCCTGGCCTGTTGTCTGTAAATATTTTAAAAGTAATAACGAATAGAACCATTTATTTTAGTTAGTCATGAATCGATTGTCACTAAACATTTAAACATATCGATCTCTTTTCAACTCCTTTAACAAAAAGAGACGAAAGATTACTTTAATTAAAGGGGTAAATTATAGAATAAGGACCTCGAAGAAAAAGTTAAAAAGCTTGTTTGTATGGTTGAACGCGCTATTTATTTAAATACGCGCTATATATTTTTTATTATTTGCCTAACAGTATAAATAAATTAAAGGGAAAAAACGCCAATCAAAAAGTCCTTTTGTATTGGACATTCCATCTATACTCTGATTTTTCATTTCATAGAATTCTGACAGCTATCATTTTTTGACATGTCAGAGATTACAAACCTTTTTGGCCGGGCATATTTTTCAATTATAGAAAGGCTGTATTATTAAATAATATTATTAAACTTCGAACTAATATAGTTCATATAAATATATAATATGTACTTTATTATTTCAAAGTATCAACATTACTGCCGAACTATAATGACTTTTTGTCGACATAAAAACATAACAGACCTCCATATCTCTCCAGACCCGAAAAAGTGCGGACCATAATGTAAAAATAAAAACCGAAAAATTATTCTATTTTCTATACTCACATCCTTAAGCGATGCCTGCGCATCTCCCGGTCGGCTTGTTTCAGATACGGTGATTGCGCACGCGCGGCCGAATACAACGATATCTAACAAAGAGTTAGCTCCAAGCCTGTTAGCACCATGTACGGAAGCACATGACGCCTCACCAGCCGCTAGGAGACCAGGAACAACGCGATCTTGGCCGTTGTAGTGGGTTATTACCTGTAGACAATTTATTATTTAAAAAAATACTAGCATATACTAATTACTAATAGTAAATATAAAATAAATCAGTGGCGCTATAACCTTTTAAGGTCTGGGCATCAGATTTCTATATCTGTTTCATGATCATTTGTCAATCAAATAGGCAAGAAGGTGATTACCCCTCCTGTGCCTGACACACGAAGGCACGCTGGTTTTCTTCACCGTTCGAGCGAATGTTAAATGCGCACATAGACAGAAAGTCCATTGGTGCAAAGCCGGGGATCAGACCTACGACCTCAGGGATGAGAGTTGCACGCTAAAGCCACTAGGCCAATACTGCTCATAATAGTAAATATAAACACACATTAAACATGTTAATCTCAACCATTTAATAGGAGTTTAGTGACACACGTACCGTAGAAAAATATATATACTGCTCAAAACAATTAGCGGAACAAGATTTTTCTCCTTTCTATTGCTTAAACTAAAATTAGATTTAAATTAACTTGTACGCTATTTTTTACCTTGTTAATTTGTTAATTACTACAATTAATAAAAAAAATCAATTTGTATTTTTTTTATTTAAAAAAATTAAAATGTGCATTGTAGACGAAAAACAAAGTGACGTCTTTGAATTTTCATTACTTTCTAATCACAGAAAACACATTTTAAGTAGTTTTTTTCAATCTTTTGAGTATTAATAGAAATTTGAAGTGAGCCTTTTGAGTATTGTTATTCATTGAAGCGAGTGAGTTTAGGTCATAATGCCAGATCTAACTGAATTGCATGTCTCCCGAGCTATCGCTTTGCTTGAAGAGGGTCGAACTATGCGTTATGTAGGAAATGATCTAGGAGTAGCCCCTTCTGTTATCTACAGACTTTGGAAGCGATACCGTGAGACGGAAGAATACTCACGAAGGCGTGGTCAAGGTCGAAAGAGAAAAACTACACGTTTGCAAGATCGCTACATCGTCAACTGTGCTTTACGTAACCGCACCACAACTGCAAGAGATCTACAAAATACACTTAGGACGGCTACTGGTGTAGAAATTTCCGACCAGACGGTAAGAAATGGGTTGTTGGAAGCCAATTTGAGATCACGCCGACCAGTTCGGGCTGTGCGTCTAACAAGTCAACATAGACAAGCTCGCCGACGGTTCGCGCAAAATCACGCTAATTGGCAACTTCGACATTGGAGGCCAGTGCTTTTTACTGACGAATCACGATTCCGTCTAACACGTTGCGATGGTCGTCTCCGTGTTTACAGACGCCCAGGCGAGCGATACAGTGCAGCAGCAGTCCAGGAATATGACAAATTTGGATGTGACTCTGTGATGGTTTGGGGCGGAGTTAGTTTGGACGAGCGCACAGATCTCGTCGTTGTTCCCGGGCGCTTGTGTGCTCAAACTTACATTGAAAATGTGCTCGAAGATCATGTTTGGCCCGCAGCATATGGTATGGGCCCAGATTTTCTTTTAATGCAAGATAATGCCAGGCCGCATACTGCAGCCATCACGTCAGATTACTTACGACAGCAGGAAATCCGTGTAATGGAGTGGCCTTCCATGAGCCCTGACCTAAATCCAATTGAACACATTTAGGACTTGCTTGACAGGCGCATCCGGAAGCGTCCGATTGCACCTCAAACACTGCAGCAGCTCACTGAAGCGTTGATTGAAGAATGGGAGCGAATTCCACAAGAAGATATTCGGAGGATCATACGAAGCATGCCGCGTCGTTGTCAAGCCGTGATTAGGGCTCATGGGGGCCACACACGTTACCGAAAGTCATCAAAGACGAATATTCAAACGATATAAGAATATTTCTTTGATGGACCTTTTTTATCACCAATTAGTTTTTCGTCTACAATGCACATTTAAATTTTTTTTTTATAAAAAAAATACAAATTGAATTTTTTTATTAATTGTAGTAATTACCAAATTAACAAGGTAAAAAATAGCGTACAAGTTAATTTAAATCTAATTTTAGTTTAAGCAATAGAAAGGAGAAAAATCTTGTTCCGCTAATTGTTTTGAGCAGTATATATATAAAGATAAGCTACATGAACGCTGAGTAACACGGGCTATATTTCTTTCTAAATATTAAAAATATCCAGCCGTGATCAGACCGCTAGTACATACGAACGCTGGGAAAATTTAGAAACAATACAACCGTAGTACACAGAATATGTCGAAACAATATCTTCAAGGTCAATTGATATTGCAGCTGAGATAACGAAAAAGAAAGTGGGCAATTTCCGTTTCGTGACATTGTGATATAATATTATCAATTTCCTTTGCTGATAACAGTTTATCGTTCATAAAGGCAAACTGATGTCTCCTTTATAATTCATAAGTTATGTTAGTTTGAAGGGTAAAGAAGCTTTATATTCTAGATGTAAAATACAATAACAGATTGTATTTATATTCTTGCTCCCACAGTCCATAGAAGAATACTCAAGCTGATTAATGGAATAATTATTTAAAAAAAACTGTGAGCCGTCACGTGACACTGAATTGAAATTATTTTGGACAAGTAATATGCATAAATGAATTTTTAGCATTTTAGAATAAAAATTTTAAGTGTTTCTAAAGATGAATGAATATTGTATCAAGGAATTAATGAGGCTTAATTATATTATTATTATTAATATGCATACAAGAACTAAAAATTAATGTTTTTCTAGAAAATAAAAAAATATTTTAATTAAATACAAAATATAAATATTTATATCATATTTTCACACCAAAAATCGCGCCCTGTTTCACATCAATAAATTTTTAAGCAAATTAGAAAAAAAAATTACAATATTGCAAAAACAAAATTAATTAAAAAAAAAGTAATTCAATTATGGGGTTCCCAAATCTTACACATTAAAATGAATTGTTGTTAAATGAATATTTATTTTTTATTTTAAACGTTTTACTAACCTAACATACAATCAAAAACTTAAATTCATTATATACATATTTTCCTAAAACATACCTCTCCTCGGAAATTGGTGGGTGTTCCTCCCATATTGTAATGTACGGTCGGCAACACAGGAATGGGTTCCTTGGTCACATCGACTCCAGCGAAGATCATAGCGGTTTCAGAAATACCAGGGAGCCTTTGCTTCAGCTGATCCGGGGGTAAATGGTGAAGTTGTAAGTGCACATGGTCTTTTTCTGGTCCACAACCACGACCTGGTCAAATCAGAAATGATTTTAAGTTACATAATTTGTCATTATTCACTACTGTTCAAAACATTTTGAAAATATCTAGAAGGCGAAAGAAAAATAGGTTTGGATATGATTTTCAAAACAAAGATAGCGGGAAATGCCAAAAGTATAGTTTTTAAAACATTCAAGGAATTGAGAAAAAGCCAAACAATAATATGCATAAATTGTTTTTACACGCTCTTCTCACAATAGAAGCGTAATTCTAAGCCACTGACTTCTATTATGCAACTCAAATCCAAAAACTTGAAAAAAAACAAAATGTCTTTTTCGTATTTCAATGTAACACCATACATAAATGGTCATTGACTATCAAAGAAAGTTTTTTAAAATAGTGACAGTAACACATGTTTTGGCAATTTTGTAAATACTGGGATCGCAATGACGCGTTCAATAAGAGGGTAGCCCAATGCTATTTTTAATTAGTTAATTTTAATTTAAATTTTACACGATAATCTGAATTTAATTTCGATTAGTTAACTATGTTTGAAGTAAAGATAGTTCTGTAAAAACTTGAAGAATTTTTAATTATTTTATGGATAAAATGAGGGTAGTTATAATATATTACCTTCCATGATTTCTACAGTCATAGCTCTCGAGACGACATCTCGACTGGCCAAATCCTTAGCGACAGGCGCGTATCTCTCCATGAAGCGTTCACCTTTAGCGTTAACGAGGAAACCACCTTCTCCACGACAACCTTCCGTCATCAGACAACCGGCACCGTAGATTCCTACAAACGAGTTTATTGTGTTTTTCCATTTATACATATTAGAAGAACAGTTGTGCAGGAACTAAAATAATCTTATATAATTTTAATATTATTTTTAAAATTGACGACATTTTTATATTATCTAGCACGGTTTTATTAATTTAAGTAAGCTTTGATAACTGGGTAGGGACTAGCCTTCTAGTTTCCTATTATGGAAAAGCTTCTTTAAATTTTAATAATTTAAATATTGCACAATTCTGTCCATTATCAGACCAAAAACAGTTTTCATACTTAAGTTTTTAATAGAAACTATTCATTATCAATGGAAAGAAGCCAATTGATTAAAACATTGTACGTCATTAATTTGTGTATATTTATTAGAGTGGAAAATTTATTGATGTGAAAGTTATGACCTATACGAAGGAAAGTTTATTTTATCAGTTTTTGATACTATCAACAAGCCGTGACTTCTCACTTACTTGGATATGGACTTTAGTATATTAAAAAAGGGTGCGTGTACTTATGTACGCGCGTAAAAAGTTATACTTCTTTGGCATTATTAAAAATAGTTTTTGATTGCATGCAAATAATAAATTACAATTTAATAATTAAAGACTGGAAAAGGAGTCATTATAGTCAATAAAGTTCAGTTTACATTTGAAAAATTTAATTAATAAATATTTATTATTATTCTCTTACGTTAAGTGTAACATAAATTCTATTATTATTCGAATGTTGTTTTTAAATTATGTCCAATGCCGTAGCATCTTCCGTGGGCAACTTCATTCTGTTAATTTTGTGTTACGGTGCGCGCGCATCGTAAAATTTCACTCTCATAAATTTTTCATAACGCGCCTAAAGAAGTATAACTTCAAAAACTAATTGTTACTTTTTCGGGTTGAAATTCATCAAATACCTACCATCATAGATTGAATTACAATTTTACTTTAGCTATATTTAGGATTAAAAAAACAAAACACAAATTTATTTGCAACGTCACAACCAGAAAATGAAAATCTTGCTAGCGATATTATTGTCGTCATTTAAATGCTAATCAAAATTGAACTTTGTGTGATACAACATAACGTTCACATTAAAACGAGGAGACAAAGTCTTATCAAGAATTAAAATTCAGCCTTCACTTGAAGAGATGTAGAGACATTTTATTGTTTTTAATGCGTTTACATCGGTGGTAATTTCGGTTTGGGTTCTTGCAAACACGATATCTTACGCTTACGGTATTTAATGTATTTTCAGGCACCAACTCAGTGGTTTTTGGTGTTATCGTACTTTTCGTTTATTTATAAGGCGTAAACAATAATAAAAAAAACCATATTTATTTACGCAAATATAACATCATCTATCATTATTATTATTATACAAATAATAGCAATATGTCTATTACTGTTAATTGTTTATAACAATTACGACTGTATATTTCGAACTGTGCTTTTCTAACAAGTTTTATATTACAGAACCAGCATATTTTATTGCATAGTTGGCCTATATTCTTGTAATATTGGTAGGGATCACAAATAAAAACAAATATGTTTTTGACGATTATTTATAGTTACACGAGGTCCTCGCTCGCTCATACGAGAGTGATAATTCTCTACTCTGAATGTTACTCTTGCACTAGCAGTGTTGGCCTAGTGGCTTCAGGTCGTAGGTTCGATCCCCGCCTAAGTACCAATGGACTTTCTTTATATGTGCGCATTTAACATTCGCTCGAACGGTGAAGGAAAACATCGTGAGGAAACCGGCTTGCCTTAGACCCAAAAAAGTACCATCTACTTGCCTATTAGATCAACAAATGATCATAAAACAGATACAGAAATGTGAGGCCCAGACCTAAAAAGGTTGTAGCGCCACTGATTTAATATAATACATTAAAATCAGCTTTAGTTATAGTAACAAACAGTCAAGCTCAAATCAAATCCGTTAAAACATTCACCACCAAGGTAGGTCTTAGAATCTTACCCTTAGTGCTAAGAAACTTACCGGTTGGATGAAACTGCACAAACTCCATATCCTCATTCTGTAATCCTGCTCGAGCAGCCATAGCTGTTCCATCTCCGGTACAGGTGTGCGCTGATGTGCAACTGAAGTAAGACCGCCCAGTACCGCCTGTAGCTAAAATTGTGTTCTTCGCTTGGAATCTGCAAGTAATAATCTATATATATAAAAATGAATTGCTGTTCGTTAGTCTCGCTAAAACTCGAGAGCGACTGGACCGATTTGGCTAATTTTGGTCTTGAATTATTTGTGGAAGTCCAGAGAAGGTTTAAATATAAAACCTAAATAATAAGTAAAGAAAAATACTAAAAACTACAATTAAATTTTCCAATAAAATCTGTTCCTATTAGGTGCCTTCAGAAATGTGTTTCATGGCTGTAGTTCGAGGTTGTCTTTGGTCTGTTTTATTAATGTTGTATTACGTTTTGACACAAAGATATGTAGGTGGGTAAGTTCACGAGTTCATCTAGTTAATGATAATAATCAGAGCATCCTTTATGAACGGGACACTGTAAAAAATATAGTAAAGTAATTCTTAGTGCTTCTACGTAAAGAAAAGTGGAGCAAGTACTAAACTGGTGAAAGAGGAAGGCAATTTAGAGGATAGACCAAATTAAGGAAACAGCAGGTACATGGCAGAGAGTGGCACAGTGCAGACAAGGATGCCTTTGCCAAAAAAGGGCACACAGATACCTAAAAAGAATGAGAAATAAATGTGTTTAAGTGTAAATTTATCTCAAATAAAACGCCATTATTATTAATTAAAAGTAATTAATTAAGAAATTTGCCAGAGGTAAGGCCCCTAAGGATTTTTGTGTTTGTTTCATTTATCATTGGTCATTGACAAGGTGATAAATGATAGCAATAACATAACAGCAGTGATTATTCAAGAAACTATCCTTGATCTCAGATTATATAAACCTTGCACTAAATCTTAAATAATTCAATTTCGAAAATATTATTTAAAATCTAATAAACTGTTCCATGACATTTAAACTTCTTTAATATTAGGTCCTTACATAAGAAATTGACGTTTTCTCATACTGGCCACTTTGACCTCAAATATCTCCTCATTGGTTAGGAATTCCAATTTTTTTTTTTAAATTATTTTCGAAACCATAATTCATTTTATTTTCCCGTTATAATTTTTTTCTTTGCGTCACTATTTATAAAATAGAAAACATGAAATATCGCGTTATTTACGAGTACGAGTTCCACCGTAGCACCAGTGCTGCAGAAACGGCTCCAAGAATTAGTGATATGTATGGCGGCGGTGTCGCAAAAGAAAACACAGTGTGTTTTGATTCCAATTTTTTAGTTCTGGAAATTTCGACGTGGACGGCCGGAGACGAAAGTTGATAAGGAAGAATTGAAGGCTGTTGTGAAAGCGGATCCATCGCAAACTACGTCTAAGTTAGCTGCAGGCTGCGGTGTTAATGGTTAAACTGTATTAATCCACTTGAAGCAAATTGGGAAGGTGAAAGCTTGAAAGTGAAAAAGCTTGAAAGGTGAGTACCTCACGAATTGAGTGCAGCAAATCGACAAACGCGCGTTTGCTACGTTTCATTTCTCAACCGGCACAATATGGAAGGTATTTTAAACCGAATCATTTACCTGTGATGAAAAGTGGATCCTGTACGACAATCGGAAGAGCTACTCGCAATGGCTGAACCCAGTGGTACCAGCCAAATCGTGCCCCAAGCGAAAATTCACTCCGAAAAAGTTTCTTGTGAGCGTTTGGTGGACTAGTGCCGGGGTCAATCACTATAACTTTCTTAATTCTGGCTAGCTGCTTAACAACCAAGGGTGATCAAACGCTCTAGGCCACTGTTGCTTCACGACACACACCACTCACTGCACAACAGACTTCTATCAATTTAGAGGAGCTTCAATTGGAATGTCTAATGCATCCACCATACTCCCAGGACCTTGCTCAAAACAGATTACGTTTTTTTCAAAATCTGGATAACTTGCAAGGTAGAAAATTCAAATCTGGATAACTTGCAAGGTAGAAAATTCAAATCTGATGGGGCAGTCGAAACCGCCTTGAAAGATTTTATTGATTCCCGTCAGAATGGTTTTTTTAGTAAAGGGATCAATAAGATGGTAAAAGAATAAATAGATAAAATGGTAAACTTTATTAATTAAATTTATTTAAAAAAAAATCTACTTTTTGTTCCCCCATATTAATATGGGATTTCAATGTAAGGACCTAATACATATTTCATTGCACAAAATACAACAAATTTTAGATTAAATTTAAATTTTTGTGTTTATTGCGCAAGGGATTAGAAACATCAAAATGGTATTATAAATGCTGTGCTGTCTTTAAAGACCGACATAAAACAAAAAATACTAAAAAGCTGTATCATTTTATGAAATATATATTTTATGGAATAAAAGAAATTAGGTACCTGTGAAGTGTTCCGTCTTCGAGGTTCAATGCAATGCAGCCTTTGCAAACTCCGTCTTCCATGAGAAGGTCCAATGCAAAATATTCAATAAAGTATTCGCAGTCATAGCGGAGAGATTGGCCATACAATGTGTGTAAAAGAGAGTGTCCGGTTCTGCAATAAAAAAATTGATATTTTAATGGGTAAGTACTGTTTTTTTAGGACTTCTTGCACAAAAAAATTGGTAAAGTAATAAGTTGTTTGAGTATTATGAAGACACAGAAATGTATTACTTATAAGTTATACATTATACATCATAGTAATACATCTAAAATAAGGCTAGAGATAACACCGTTTTTATTACCATAGCAACAATGTTTTGTATATGCAACCATCCATTCACATTTTGTAATGCCTATTATGTTTAAAGTGTTATTATATGCTCAAAAACAAGCACATAATCAGGCCAGATATGATATAACTTAAAAATCTCTTTATACAATTGCTTATCACTGCAAATAACTACAGAAGTGTGCAAGATAAAAAAATTAAAGTATTATCAGTGCAATACAGTTATCAATGGCAATAAATTGCAAAATTCTACTGACCAAACCATCTGGAAATATTACATTAAGAAATATTGATCTTTAGGTCATAGACGATAAGATCTATATTTCAACAATTCCAAATTCGATACTGTAATATTACAATAGGTAGATACAAGTTTTCAGATATATTTTAACTTATTACCTGTCTGCAACAGCACAGCACCTATGTGCTTGACCACCCTTTCCAAATTTCAAGGATTGGCCACCAAAGGCTCTCTGGTAGATCCTGCCTTCTGGTGTTCGAGAAAAAGGCATACCATAATTATCTAATTCAATAACTGCATGAGGTGCTTCTTTAGTCATGTAGTGGATGGCATCCTGTAAATCGAAGAATGGATTATTTTATGTTATTTATTTATTTAATAACAGCACAATGGCCAAACTTAGACTAAAAACAATAAACAATACAATTAAGATTTACAATACAGGGTAGACCCCCCAGGTACACTCTGAAAGCCCAGTATACCACCCCATAATGTATATGTTATACTACTATTAAGATGCCAATAAACAACTGCCATATTGAAAAACCTAAAAAAATTTACCTCATTTAGGAATGAGTATTAATTAATATTATTATAGATTATTGCTTTACTTAATGGCCTGTATTCACCTAGATTAGTGCGAGTGCAAGTGATTAGTAATTGACATTGATTAGTGCAGGTGTGTAGTGCAAGTAGTGTCCAATTATTTTTAGTGGCTCTGTAAAGTAAATTCAGTTGTCATATAGTTTGGCAGGCACGCTGCGAGTGAGGGGGAAGGGAAGGCGCACGCGACGTCACTACTGCAGTTCACTCACAAAAAATAGAACATGCTTCTAATCACTTTACTACGCAGCCGACTAATCAGTCGCTGTCCACACTTGTTTTCCCCTAATCACTAATAAAAATTTTAGGAAATCTTTAAGTTTATACAGTGTAACCATAGCACGTTAAAGACACTATTTCAATGTTATAATATCAGTTTACCTGGTCTCCAAGCCAATCAGAACCCTTAACCGTGTCATACATATGCCAGAGCCAATTGTCTTCTTCCATGTTACCTGCAAACAATAAGTATTTTATATATATTGCACAAGTGTTTAAATCTAGATCTAAACATCAAAATTATGGATAGGTAATATTTACCGAGTGCAGCATTTATGCCACCCTGTGCAGCAACTGTATGTGACCTTGTGGGAAAAAGTTTTGTGACCACAGCAGTCTTGAACCCTTCTTGAACAAGACCAAAAGCCGCACGCAGACCCGCGCCTCCCGCACCAATAACGAGTGCATCGTGTTTGTGGTCAATTACTGTGTACGACTGTGCGACATTGGAATTGGCTGAAGCCTCCTTCAGGGGTGATGCTCCGCCAACAGATAAATGGAGATTTCGGTACAAATGCGTAGCCTGTAAATATAATTTAATTTTAGTATTAATCAATGCGAATATCAAAAATAATAATAATCGCAATAAAACATACTATAATGGGATAAGCATAATGTACGTACATGGTTATATTAAAAAAATATAACGCATTATTCCATTGGTTGGAAGTTGAGATTTATAAATATTTATTAGTGAGCGTGAAACTTGAATAGGAAAGTTGCACCATAATTTGTAATAGTATCGATAGAGCTTATGAACGCCACCCATTCATAGCATTTCTTTTTATTTTTTGCGGTTACATAACAAAACAGTTTTCTTCCTAATATAATTTGGAATACAAACCAGTGATGCTGGGCTACGAGATAAAGCTGCTTTCAATAATGTACTCATGATGGAACTCTCTGCTCGCACCCAGAGTACAATTATATATTATTTTATTCTAGAATATTTTCGGGACCAACATGCACCCGCCAGCGGTGTTTCACTTTCGCAACTAATTAAATCTGTCAAGTGTCAATGTCACTTATCGTCAGCAAAGGAATTTTGAAGTGAAGCTGCTAAATGTCACTTTTAAGAAAATTTTATATCGTTGTCGGTTGGGACTTCCCCCTAAAAATGAGGGATTAACTTTGCTGTATCCACACATTGCCTCTAAAAATTCTAAGTTGTAATCATAGTACTCTAGCTAAGCTCTCTGTATCCCATTATGCCCAAAATAATCAACTTTGGGTAGTGACTAGTGACTACCATGTGTAAACTTCTTGTTATTTTTTTTTATACAGGTTAATAATATAAGTAGTAAGTTGAATTTCTTATATACGCCTACGCAATTTGAGTATAACTAAAACTTTACATCACTATGTACTTTAACAACTAAATAAATTCTAATGAGTTGTGTCAGTAGCATATTTTAGTATTATTTTTATTTTAGTAACATTGACAACTGACAGTTATCGACTAGGTCTGTGCAGCTTAAAGAAGTAAAATGTAAATACTAAAAATAAACTTCGGTATTATAAATTTGGGACTGCATTTTGGTTATTGAACCACTTAAATATTTATAATCTAGTAACTAATACATATTAATGAAAGTTATATAATTGTCGTAATGGCTGATAATATATGCAGTAACGACTCCGTTACCGAAGCAGAAAGGCTACGGGGTAAGTACTAGCTTTTATGCTTCAAAGTAAATCTTGAGTTGGGTTGACACACATAGTATTTCCCGCGTCTATAAAGCTATTAAGTTCCCTTAACAATGAACTATGATCTAGTCTCATTATTAAATATATTTCTTGTATGTACTTATCTAATTCTTTATACGTAATCTATTGCTACTATGTATTTACTTTAATGATTAATCACTTATAGAAGAGGAGCTAGCCAGGGAGTTGGAACATAGTGATTCAAATGAAGGAGACACTCAGGACATATCTTTAGAAATAGAGGAAAACTTGCTAAGAGATGAACCGGAATGTAAGTGTAACATGTGCAACTTCCTAAGTGATTAATTAAAGCAGAAGGCTCTTGGTAGCAATGATCAATGTAATTGCATCCATTGTAATTTTTCACTTGTAAATTAAGGCCCCACAAGATGTATTTAATTGCTACAATACCTGGTATAATAGTTATTTAAACCATTCTGTGCTTGTTTTTAACAAAAAAAGCTTGTTATGGTCCATAAGTAAAGGATGCAAATTAAAACAGCTCCTTTAAATTGCCAGTTTTGTTACAATAATAGTATTGACCCAGTGTATGGTAGTGTGGTGATTATCTTTAATGTTAATAAGGAAAATGGTTTTAAAGATTTTTTAATTGTAAAAAATAATTATTTTAGATGCCACACTTACTAATTATGGAGAAAGCACAAGTCTTCAAAGTCAACACATTGAAACTTATTCTGATGACCTCTTCAAAGATAAAGATGTTGATTTGCCTATCTACAGAGAACAATCTACTGATTTACTTACATCGCAAACAGACACATTTGTAGATGATAATGATAAATATGAATCATATATTAATGATTATAGTTTTAGTAATAATCAATCAATGGATGAGTGTAACATTGAAAGTATAATTGACCAAAGTACTTCAGAAGCGAAGGAAAGTATAGAGCAATTAAACACAAATGATATTCAATTAAATAGTGAGAATGAATATCAAACAGATGAAATGTTAAGCGAAAGAGAAAGGGAGAAAAAGAGTAAAAAAGAACTAGAGGAAGAGGAAAGAGAAAAAATGCAGTAAGTAGTTTTTACTTATTGTACTGGAGATTCTTTTTTTATTACAGCCATTTTTTGCTGCTGTGATCACTAAGATCTTATTTTATTATTGTTTAGTCTCATAGCAACTTAAAACAATCTTTTAGAACTTTTGTCTGTTTGGCAATGAATAGATAACTCACGCAATTCTATAGACATAAACTTTGAGGTATTCAATTATTTTGTGATAACTAATAAATATTGTATCTAGTTACAATATTTATTAATTACCATTTTACTTAAATTACAAGTTATTTTTATGCATTTATGTGTATACAGTCAAAACCGTTTATAACGACATCGTTTACAACACCTATCGGTTATTACAACCAGATTGTATGGTCCCGTCGAATCCCTAGTAAACTATTCAGTAAAAAACGCTTAAAACAACATCGGATACAGCGACATATCGCTTACAACGACGAAAGTTTATCGATATTCATCGGATATAACGACCAACCGCTTCTTGTCTCAGTAAAACAAAACAATACAAACGATTTTAAATTTTATTTATAAGCATTGAATGAATATTTAAGCATATTATTACCTACGCACTTTCTCCCAACGAACAGTTTCAGCCAACAACGATTTCCGAGGCTCTTAACGCTGTAACGATTTTACAAAAATTTGTTGCCTTTAACGAACAGTTTGATACTGGTGATACTCATACCTTGAGGAGTATGAAACGTAAAATGCAAAAAATATTTGAGACTGGGCTAAAAAAACAGACTGACTGATTACAGAAGACCTAATTATTTCTGTAATAAGTATTTTTGGTCTTTTTTGACTCGTTTACATATTATAATATTAACATACCATATTATAACCCATACCTACCTATTCTAGATCGATAACTATGTACATACATATGTACAGTACTTTGTGTATACGACATTGCTTATAACGACTATCGGATATAACGTCGGCAACTATACGGTCCCTTCAATGTCGTTATAACCGGTTTTGACTGTATATCTATAATTATATATTATCTTTTCCTTTTACATTCTAATAGAACAATGACAATATAAAACATATTTTCTTTTGTAAGGGTGCTGGTGTCCAATTTTACTGAAGAGCAGTTAAATAGATATGAGATGTATAGACGAGCAGCCTTTCCCAAAGCAGCTGTAAAAAGGTTGATGCAGACAATAACTGGTACATCTGTGGGTCAGAATGTGGTGATAGCTATGTCTGGTATTGCTAAAGTATTTGTTGGGGAAGTTGTAGAAGAAGGTAAACAAAGTCTATTCTTAAAGTGCATAATAAATAAGTACCATTATTTTTTGCATCTATTTCTGTGATCTTTATTTTTTATTGTAGAACAGTGTTAGCTTAGTCATAAGTTCGAACCGCAGCTGTACACTAATAGACTTAATACTGGAATTATCTTATCACCTACTTGCCGAAACACATACAAAAATCTGAGGCTTGTAGCGCCACTGTTTTCGTATATTTTTAAGGCAAGTAGGTGATTAACCATGCTGTCTAGTACTAAACCCTTGCGGTCTAAACAATACAATTTAATGACACATTATTATAAAACAAAGATTTTCAAGGAATAAGGTGTTTACTGTGTGCCTAACTTACCCTTGGACTGTACTATTGGACCCTATTGTTGCATTTGTAATGAATAATAAAATTGTATTTCAGCTTTGGATGTATTAGAAAGCTCTGGAGAGTCAGGGCCCTTGCAACCAAAACATCTTCGGGAGGCTCTAAGAAGGTTGCGAGTGAGAGGTGCAATACCTCCAAGAAAGGCATACAAACATATGTTAAGACTCTAACTTGACATAGATTTAATACTAGGTTTAAATATTCGGTCAGAAATACACTTGTATAAAGAGAACTAATTTGGAAATGTTATGAAAAAGGGGCACCATTTACAATCTATAAGTGTACACAGACTTACCTAAACAGTTTTGATCTTTAGTACTTTTAGGGTCTGTTTCACAATGTATAAAGTACCAAATAGCTATGCAACACATAAATTATTTGGAAGATAAGTTGTGATATTTAACACTTCATCGGTCTCATAACTTATGATGGACTATATGTGACAAATAGCGCTATCTGACAGTCGTGAAACGCAACAATAGTGTATATCCTACCAATAAGTAATAAATAGCTAATTTGGAACTTATGTAAAACTTATCCGTAAATTGTGACCCTTAATATTTTATCTTATCTTCTGTCAGCTATTTGACTTTAAAAAATGTCTATGGTCTTTATTCTATTTTTATTTGGTCTTGTCTGATTGCAGCACCTTCAATAGTAAATTCCATGAAAAATTCCCCCCTTTTAAAAACTAAATCAGTTTAATTGTACTCTTTTGCCTCTTTCTGTCAAATTTTCTATTTAATCTGTGGTGAAAAGAGGCCATTTGTAATTATTTGATGAATATGAAAAGATGTTTCTAAACAAAAGTAAAGCATTACTTTTAAAATGTTTTTGAATAATTTGTAACAAATATTCGCTATACCTAGTAACATAATAACATGTAAATAATTTGTAATTTTTCATTGTTATATTAATATTAAAATGATTTTAGAATTATTAATGTGTTCGAAATTTTAAAAACTAATATTTAACTTAACAATAATATATCATAAAAATATGTAAAGAAAGTGAAATGAAAATATTATGTACGTTAGTCTCAAAGAACCACCATACTACAATTTAACAATTGAACTTGATTTTTATCACAAATCGAGCTTTGGACCTACAAATACAGTATATACATTATACTGATACTGATACTGTATTTATAGAAAGTTCTGGTCAATATATAAACAATTACTATATTTACTGATAGGCAAATAAAATACAATTAATTTCTAACGTTAATTTATTACATGATAAGTCTGTTAATCAAAACAATATACAATGTTAGGGTCATTTCACAAAACCTTTGCAAGTGAAATCAGTCTTGTTAAAATGCTACCTCTATTTGTGGAAAGTTAAAACATTATAAAATACATTCATTAACAAAAACTAATAAAAACACAAAATTCCATTCAAAACAAAAATTGGCACTTATCAATTATTCAAGAGAAATGTTTGGTGTAGCTCCAAATATTATCACAGGTAGATAGGTTTAAGAGAATCACCAGAATTTGGGAAGGCACTTTTTTGTTAATAAATAATTTGGTAATGTTACTTAAAAAAATTACCCCCTTACTTATAAAAATCCCCAACGCTTATCAGTCGTACTCTGCGGCTTTCCTATAACCTGTAGTAATTCAAAGTACATAGACAATGACATGATTTAAGCCGATACTTAATAAGTGCCAATTAATAAAAAAATTATAAAGGCACAGAGTAACCCTGCATAGTGCTCTTAAATTCTTGATCTATAAAATGATAACGCATTTAGTATAGATGACACTACAGTTTATAAATAAAGGGGTTATTTATTTCCGAACATAATTTTGAAGGCACTTCTCTAACAACTAAAAAGGTTGAAAACAACAAAATATAAACTTGCTATAATAAATAATAATTCAAGTACCATATTATCTATGATACATAGATATCGTACTGATAAAATTATTTGCATTTTGCAAATATTGTTCAAGCAATAATTGAGCTTTAGGGAAGCTCACATACGACTCCATACATGGTACAACCTGCCCGTGAATTGTATTAAAATTTAACTGGTCTATACTTGCTCAATAGCAGCATTCTTGGTACAGACAATACATACAATTGAATTTCTATAATAAAAAATTGCGAAGACAACTTGATTAGTGCTCTGTGGCCGTAGTCTAACTAAAATGGATCTTCGTTCTAGAATAGTTTTCATATAAAAGACGCATTGGTGTTGGTAGCAATTAACATACATCGAGTGCATACGTATATGTTATGCGATATTTATGCATCAATGCTAGATGCCTTTAAAACTTTTGGCATCTAATATTTATTAATTTTATTTGAAATCCAATTTATAATCTATTGTGTGCATTGAATTCCCATTATTATAAAATATAGTCGAGGTAATAAGACATTGGTCCGTTCATGGTATACAATTAAAAATATTGACAAGTTTCCAAATGTTAAAACTTATAAAATCCTTTCCGAAAATTGGATACGTCGAGAAAGTTAAAAACTTTAAATCTACTATGCACATTACAACCATGTATGAAGGGCTTTAAGACTAGACATTAACACAATTAAGTACAGTTCACACTAACAATCGTTTAACGCCACATTCGATACAAAACTTGGCTTTATCAGGGAACTTACTCCCGCATTCGTGACAGAAGCGAGAAAGGCGCGGGGCGGAGTGTTGCTCCCTTCGAACACGGCTTAAGGACGTCTCAGAACCACTAGAGCTGAGTGCCTCTTTTATATTACGATGCGATGTGCGATGTGTGGAGACCCGAGAACTGGTACGTTTCTCTGTTAAATACATTGTTTTATTACACACTAAATAATAAAATTACAAAATTAATTGTATGTGTGCAAAAGGCATGTAAATTTTACTATAGAAACATTGACAAACTAGACTAGACTATGCCATGCTAAACTAAATATTTTTGAAGTTATACATCTTTAGGCGCGTTATGAAAAATTGATGAGAGTGAAATTATAAGATGCGCGCGCACCGTGACACAAAATTGACAGAATGAAGTTGCCCACGGAAGATGCTACGGCATTAGACATAATTTAAAAACAACATTCGAATAATAATAGAGGTGAAGAATGTTACACTTAATGTAAGAGGTTAATAATACCTAAATATTTATTTATTTAATTTTTCAAATCATTATTGACTATAATGACTCCTTTTCCAGTCTTTGATTATTTAATTGTAATTAATTATTTGCATGCAATCAAAAACTATTTTTAATAATGCCAAAGAAGTATAACTTCTTACGCGCGTACATAAGTACACGCACCCTTTTTTTCGTTATTCTGATTAGTAAAATTTAAAAAAAAATTCAGTAGTACACAAAGAAAAAATTACATGTATAGGTTTGCGACAAATCAAAATTTCACTTTCCACTCGCCACTTATACTTGACGATATGCTTATTTCTTACGTATTTTGTTTACACTAGATAATGAGTCAAGAATCTCCTACGTTTAGGTTTTATGTAAATGAAAATTTCAAGCTGTCTGAATAAAACTAACTCACCATGAACACTGATGTGCTCTACATTATTGTAGGACGAGTGCATATCAGATCTCGTTAACGTCTCTTCTGTCTCAGTGGATTTCTCCATCGCTAAAAATTCTTCACTTGATATAGAACGTCTGTCTTCTTTATGACTCTCACTCGTGTCTGATCCGCCTGGTTGTTCTAAGAGCACTGTATCGTTGGATTCTTTAACATTGCACAAGGACAGCTTTGATGGCGATACTCTGTTTAGGCTGGAAGCAGTAACGTAACATTATAACGCAAAAAAATTTATATACCCTCTATGTTCACTTCTGAATGGTTACCTGACTAACCTGCTATAAGCTGAATCGTTGCTTATTTTCCCACCAGGCGTGTGATTTCCGTTTATGATGTTGTCACATTTATTATTTTGTTCGATCTTCTTCCGACTACCTCTTTTTACTGTATCAATGTACGTGCGTTTATTCATATTAAGATCTTTATTCGAATGACTTTTCTCATTTTTCTGAGATTCGTAGAACTTGTCGAATTCTTTCAGAGATTGCATTATATCATCTTCCAGCTGATCAGTCTTATGGCGGATTTTAGGTTCTATTTTGGCAGGTTTCTTTTGAATGGAATCAAGGAGGGAAGTGGAACGCTTGACGGAGGAAGGAAGCAGTTTATCACCCACGATATTGTTACTGCTAAAAACAAGGGACATTGATTTATTCACTGGAATCATACCGTTACTACTACTTTTTAAAATTTTAGGGGTATCATTTCCGGCGACAATTACGTCGTCAGACAATTCAGATTGCTTGACTACTCTAGTTGTCGAGCTACACGTGCGCTTTTCAGATTTTTGTTTATTAACCTCTTCGTCGAAAGAGGTCATGAATTCCTCGAGATCAAAATCTTCACAAAGGGAGTCATCGTCTCTACCAGAAGTTCTAGATGTTATACTATGATCGAGAGAGTACATTAGCTTATCATACTGAGCCCCTAAATCACTTATGATTGGAGTCGTCGAAGTCTCACTATGAAAATTATTGTTTTTCTCGTTTTTAAGACTTTCTATATTTGTAATATTTCTACAGTTATTGTTTTTCTTTATAGTACTAAACGATTCGAATTTAGCTGGTAGATTTTCAGTAGTTAGTAGAGATTCAAAGCTACTTATAATGTCGGGATTGTTTAAGATAGTGTTAACATTTATCGGCAAATTGTCATTTTCATTGATCAACATGGGATCTATATAATTACTATCTGTCATAGAAGAGTTATCACATGACAGTATAGCATCAAGATTTACAAGATCTTTCTTATCATCTTTTTTAATTTTTTCAAGTTTCAAGGGTTGACTCCCAGTATTTCTCTGAAAAGCATGATGCATAGATGTGGATAACTTTGGAATTTTATTTTTTAACTTAGGCGTACTATAGACTGAATTATTATAACTAGAAAATGATCTATTTAAATTACTGCTGCGATTAAAGTATGGTTTTTCTACAGAATTGATATTTTCCTTGCTGGATTTGGTGAATGTTGTATTAAGAGTAGGTTTTTTCTCATTTCTATTTAATCTAAACGAACTACATCTACCACCAAAGGAACTTGAGAGATTATCATTATGTGTACTTCCAAATGATTTCATTCTGTTCAGTGTAGGTGTTTTTTGATATGTTTTATTAATGGTGTCTTTTATAGTTTTGGTATTATCGGTGCGGTTTAGAGTGGAGGCTCTGGTAGGAGTGGGTTTTAAGGAAGGAAGTGTGCGACTGGATTCTTTTGAAGCCTTTTGTTGCTTTTTCGGAATATTTGTGTCTGAAGACATTAGCTCTTTCATCTGCCTAGCAGCACAAGCGAAGGGGTCGTAATTATCGTCAAGCCTGTAAATGGACAATGCTTACATTACTTCTACAATACACTAATACTACGAGAACTAGTCTAAAACTATTTTTACGTAATTATAAAAATACTCAACAATACAATCTTATTTACATGAACTATTTTACGATGGTTGTTTAATGTGTTCGATAATGCCTATTAACCCTAATTGTAGTAATTGTAATACAAAAAAGGCTATATAGGATACTCGGAACCTTTTTAATTCAATTCTGGGTAGCTTTAGTGGTGGTGCTTCGTCGCTGCTTTCATCTCGACGTTCCTTGATAATATAGGTCTGATAATCTTTATCCGTCCGTTTTTGCATTTTGACTTTTCGATTATCCTTATAGATGCTTGCGATGTTATTTTTACCTTTTTGAGGCCCTTTATTGTTCTCGGCGATCGAGGGGAGTTTGATTTTTTTATCCGGTTCAATTGGAACATCTTTTGTATTTTCTTCTTGTTCGTACAACTTTAATTCATACACTGTTATGTGTTCGAGATCTGAGACTTTCCTGGTCTCCTCTGAATTACTCGGCGGGAACTCTTGCGCTTCTTGTAATAAATCTTTGAAATTATTTTTTAATTCTTCAAATGACTCCGAGAAATTATGTTTCATGGTAATGTTATCATTATTTTTCAAACATATCGATTCGATGGAATTTGTTTTCGGTGTATGGAGATCTTCTATGTTTTTTGAAAATTCTTCTTGACATTTCGTTTCACACGTCATCATGTTGTCAGTTAACGTAAGAAACTCTTCCAAGTCAGCTGGATTATCCATGAATTTAGTATATGTGTCACCGCTGCCATGACGGCTTATTAAATTAGTTTCATTTTCATCTTCTTTAATTTCAATTTCTTTTTTATTGTCACATTCAAAGCTGTCTTCGCTAAGATCCCGTTCGTAGTTCTCTTCAAATATTTCACCTGAGAGGTCGTAATTTTCCATCTGAGTTGGCTCTTTAACGCTATCACATTCCGTTATAGAATCTACTTCAAATTCTAAGTCATGTTTCTCTTTTTACCTTCATAAGCCGGATTTTTACACAATTCTTTACTTTCAGTTGGATAGTTTGGAATGGAATTTTCCGATAGATTATGTACAATGTCATCATGATCATTCTGTTCTCGCAAATCTGTACTTATGTCACAAGAACTAACCATGGTGAGATTTTTAAACAATAATTCGACACTTGGGGAAGGCACGGTTATGGTATTTTCTAAAAGTTCATCTGTTTTATCAACTCGCGTTTTATTTGTCGTAGAAGAGCTTCTATTCTTAGATTTTGTTTTATCTGAAGATGTGTCATGGATAACGCAAGGCACACATGGGCAAAGAAGTTCCGTATTAATACCAATTGATTGACTTCTTTGTTCTCTATCTGATTTCGGTGGACAATCTTCAAGACTGTCTAAGCTCATGGTACTCTCTTTCAACTTTTTTACCGTTTCTTTTTTTACAGTGTTATCTTTTTGTCTTCTTGACTTTGAAGAAATTGATTTCTTCTTCGAATAATTTGATTTTGGCTTTAATTTCGCGACGGAAACTTCCTCTTCCTCAGTGTTTAACTCCTGTTTTAATATATCGTCACAATTTGTAATCTGTGTTTTTTGTTGGTTGCGAATTGGAATTTGACTTTTTGATGCTGCGATTTTTTCTTTAATTCTTTTCTGGTCGGCTATTATTTTTTCACTCCTTGCTTTATGTTTTTCAGCGATCTCCTCCAGATTTTTTAACTGTTGTTTTTTCCTAACATTTAACCTTGGTTTCTTCTGGTCATGCTGCTTATTTATTGGGTCAGTTTTGGATTGTAGAGCGATAGGTTCTTCATTATTTCTAAGGAAGGGGAAAGGAAGTTTGAGAATTTGAAAGAAATTTAACAAAGAAGGAGATAGGAATACTATTACTAATATTCAAAACGAAATACAAAAACTTCTATCTTCCTTTCCCCTTATTTGCTAAAGGTTTCCGAGAAGCATTAATAGATACCTAGTGCTGCTTAAATCCTTGGCCAGCCGGGCTTGCCTCGCTTTAATATTCGCATCTCCAGACGATTTATTTTGAGAGCTACGCGA